TGCACCCCACTCCCATTCATAGCACCTGTCCAGCCTCAGTTGTTTCCCTTTGGATTACATTTCTTAGAACTACACCAATCAGAGATCCCTGATTTAACAAGAATCATCTTTTGCTTGGCATGAAAGAAAGTCTGAGAAGATACAAGTTTGAAACATGGCCTCTGGACATGTCTTAGTGGAAGGCTACATAAGAGGTGGGGGAGGGGAATGAGGAAGGGTCAGGAAAGCCGCAGAAGGCAGTGGAGGCTTATTGGGCCTTCCAGGGAGATTTAAGGTGGGTTTAGAAGACGAGATCGTTTGACATCAAAGTCACACTTTGCCTAATTGAAATACTGGCACAGTTCAAGCCTTACATCCAAGAAAAGAGAAAGAAATGTTTCCTTTCTCCTTCTCTACCTGCCTGGATCACATGACTTCCCCCTCCCAGGACCTAGTACCAAGGTGTTGGTACTCTTAAAGACATGGCTTGGCTGCATTAAATTACATGGATTTCATAGAATATCCTGGAAATAAAATCATCTCTTCTTTTATGTACGCTATGCAGAAAGACACTTTGAAGTGCAAATCATTCAAATGTTGGGAGCCTTTTTGTTTTTTGTTTGAAAATGCCTTAACCTAATTTCCAAGCAGATCTTTGGCTTTTCTAGATATGTAGTTCCAAATGATTGAGAGTCACTCGTGGGACATGAAGGCATTGGCCCTCTGTGCTATCCAAGCATTTTGTTATCAGTAGAGATAACCCTTCTAGAACTCATGGGCCAGACCTCATTCCTCCCAAGCTTTGCAGATAGAAGGTCTAGCAACAAGGTTACCGTTATAATGAATAAAACTGACTTTTAAAGGAAGCTAGTTAAATGGTTGCTGGAGTGAGTTTGGCATATCTGGATTATTAAAAAGTTAAAAATGTTCATAGATGTACATATTCAAGGGAGAAACAGGAAAAGAGGCAGAAGCAGCCTGTACCCACTACTGTTTGAGGTCAGAAAGGATCTTAGGTTTTCTTTTTATTTCTTTTTTTTTTTTTAAGGCAAGTTTTCACCGTATTGGTCAGGCTGGTCTTGAACTCCTGACCTCAGGTGATCCTCCCGCCTTGACCTCCAAAGTGTTTGGATTACAGTCGTGAGCCACCACACCCGGCCCAGGATCTTAGGTTTTCTAAAATGATGAAAATTTGAATCTGCTCTGACACCTTCTCACCTAGTCTTCTTTTGATCAATGTCACCAAACAGTCCCAGCCCTCTTGGATGTAGTCTGAGGAATAAAATGCTAAAAATATCACCCAGGCATTGCTTTTACCCGAGATCTATTTTGACTAGCACAGCCCGCAACTGTTTACATGCAGGGAACAGGGAGTCAGCCTACTGTTCCCGACGTGCATTTTAATAAGCCACCTGACAAGATCAACAGGAAGAAAAGAAAAATTGTGAGCAGGTGCAAGGGAGCTGGGAGGAGCTGGAGGAAGACGGGCCCTGCTTCTCCCTGCTCTTCATCCAGTCGGCACGTTATTCTGCTGCCAGGACCCTCTGGCTGGAACAGGGGCTGTCCCCAGTTCCCTCCGGTGTGGGCTCTGATAAAGGGAGCCTAAAGTCTCAAATTAATCCTCCATGCCTTCAACAAAAGGAAAACTGGATTTCAGTAGTGATTGTTTTACTGTCGTAACCCAAAATGCTTCATTCATTTGCTCAGAGGCCGGTTGGTGAGGTAGGGTGTTCCTGTTGGCTTCCTTGCCTTGGGAATGTGTGGTGCATTTGCTGATTGGATGTCTGTTTCCAGATGGGCATCTTTATTCCCAGCACCAGCCTTTGAGAATGTGACAGACCATTTTTAAGTATTTGCTTTGTACAAATTGTAGCCTATTGACGGGTCTTGCCGGCTTTTCTTGTTTTATACCATGATAGATTTTGTGCAGTGTGTTGTATAAGTAATAATGATAGGTCTGGCTTTGTAGTTGTGGCTGTTTGTTTTCTCTTCCTTTGTATCCAGTTTTAATGTGTTCCTCTAACACCACGTTGGCAAGCCAGCCAGGGTTGTTAATGACATGTTAAAGCCTATCTTCTGTCTAAATTGGTGGCGATTCTGTCTTGATTTTTTTGAAAAAATGCCTGTGTTTAGAATAATGCTGCTTCGAAAGTCATGTAGCCAGTAGCTTTTCCATTTCATTGGAGAAACATATTGGAAAAATAGTGATAGTTTGTCCACTACCTTCAATTCAGTTGTGTTCCCTGGAGGGGTAAGAAAATGAAGACTGAACGTCGCCAGGTTGCTCAGAATACATCTGCACTAGTCTGTGGCTTGGCAGATGGGAGATGACAATGGGCAAGGCCAGGGCATCTCCTCCCTAGGTGAAACCTTCACCATGCAGTGGGCAAAGGGCCATCTGGGTCTTTCAGAAGGTTCTGCATAGGTCTGAAAATGTTACCCTCTTCCGCACCCTATGGGGAAAAAAATCACAAAATTCACTTGTGATAGGTAAAGACGTAGATATAAATATCTATCAATACCTATCAGTATTATGTGTAGTTAAATAATTAGAAAGTCACCAATAGCAACTAAGTTCACAATTTAGTTCAGTTAAACGTTATTAATAGTAGGCTGGGCGTGGTGGCTCATGCTTGTAATCCTAGCACTTTGGGAGGCTGAGGCGAGTGGATCACCTGAGGTCAGGAGTTCGAGAACAGCCTACCAATGAGGTGAAACCCTGTCTCTACTAAAAATACAAAAAATTAGCTAGGTGTTGTGGCGGGCACCTGTAATCGTAGCTGTTTGGGAGGCTGAAGTAGGAGAATTGCTTGAACCCGGGAAGCAGAGGTTGCAGTGAGCCAAGATCATGCCATTGCACTCCAGCCTCCAACCTGGGTGACAGAGTGAGATTCTGTCGCAAAAAAAAAAAAAAAAAAAAAGTATTAATAGTAATTATCTCAGTCTACCAGGATTTGTAAATACTAATGTCCCAAACTGAAGTTAGGGAGACTCGTTTTTACCTTTTTTTTTAACTTTTAGTTTTATCTCTGTGTAATTGTATTGGGGGCAAATTTGTCGGTGTCTTCTCTTTTATAATTAACAATTGTTTTCCCAACTTCTTGGTAAATAATCCTTCATCCAATTTGCCAGTGTTAGTGTCTCTTCTAAATTCCAAGTTGGAATGTAAAATTCTTTTGTGTTGTAATTGTGGATCAGAATCTATTAATTAACTTGTTAATGCATTTAGGACCTGGTATTCCTAAAGGGCTCATTACTGAACCTCACACTAGTCTTTCTAATATCTTTACAAAAAGATAGCATCAATAATGACTGAATTGTCAGGTGGAAAAAACAGTTGGCTTAGCAGTGAACATGAAGTCTTTATTCAGATACACGCAAATGTATTACATTCATAAGAATGATAATTTTGAGAAACATTTGAACAGCATAATTACTTGCAGAAATGTTACTGTATTTTATATATTATGCTGTATAATGTCCTGAACATCTTTGGGAGTTGTGTGTTTGGGGGTAATGAGGAAACCTGAAACTATATTAGAAAGTGGTGTTATAGATACTAAGGAAAGAAATTATATAATCGTCTTTGTAGCCGTTTAATCATAGTTAATAGGAAAATATAGGCCGGGCGCGGTGGCTCAAGCCTGTAATCCCAGCACTTTGGGAGGCCGAGGCGGGTGGATCACGAGGTCAAGAGATCGAGACCATCCTGGTCAACATGGTGAAACCCCATCTCTACTAAAAATACAAAAAATTAGCTGGGCATGGTGGC